AATATCGAAACCAACAATCAGCTCCAATTTTTTTTGGTTTCGCTCCTCATTTTTCCACGGGAAGCGTGGTCACTGACGGAAGCGACAGCGAAAATGATCTCTGTAGCAGAAAGGGAGAAAGAGCAATGAAGCGAAGGATGCTTGAACTGCCTCTTCATGACTGTATAAGCAACTAAATTCTCCGCTATCTGCGACTGCGCAAGAAAGTATCATGCATTGGCGGCCTCCGGAAAGGTGCCGCACATGCATCGATGGGCGGTGGCCACGAACTCGAAATATTCGGCATATATAGCTGCTGCGTCTAGCATTCCAATATTATCGTTAGCGATTCCCACACTGATTGTCCGAGTGGCCTTAGAATTTGTTGCTCTGTTTAGCACGGGAGCGATGATTTTAATGTGTTTTGCTGCTGCACCCCGTTTGGCTGAATCTGCCGACCTTTTAGCACTGTGTCGTGGCCTCACCGCGGGATTTGTGTACGCCTCACAGCCTTACGCTAGACATGAGTTTTTGCATATGTGCAAATGCGAAAACGCATATTGCGACGATCCCGGTGTGCGTGTGTATGTGTGTGTGTTTGTCTGTCTGTCTGTCTGTCCAGGTATTTCAACTCGGCACCCAAGCAAGCTCCGGAGCCAAAATTTTGCGAGTGGGTTTCCCGACCAAGTGCCACCCCATGACCGTGCTATCAATCCTCACGCACGTTCAGGCCCCGCGTACGAGCACCTCAAAGTTTTGGCGGGAAAACCGCTAACCTGGTAACCAGAAAAGCTAGAAAGCTGAAATTTTGGGATTATGTTCCCCGTCCACATAAAACTCAAAGATTTCAAATTCAGCCCCCAGGTATGCGTGTTTCCCGCGTACGGCTACGTGAGGGTTCCTGGCGCGAAAATCGCTAGCTTGGGAACCAAGAAAGGTGGGGGGCTGAAACTTTCAGTAAATGTTCCCAACTCATCTACAACTTAAATTTATCAAGTTCAGCTCTCCCGTCATGCATGGTTGTCACGTACGGCCCCGTGAAAATTTTTGGCGGGAAAATGAATAACTCCGGAATCATGGGAGCTGGGAGGCTGAAACTTTCAGAAAATGTTCCCAATTCATCTACAACTTAAA